TGCTGGGGTGGGAACAGGCGGCCGGAAGGTCTCTTCACCGCAGCCCTCCTCCTCCAGGCCATCCGAGTGAGGACCCCAAGTTCCCGAAGGTGCCATGGCCCAGCCCAGACCTCTGCCCAGCCTGCCACGAGGAGATCAAGGGCCTGGGGACCTGGAACGAAGGCCAGGTCCTGCTGTTCCTGAAGCAGCACTACAGCAGGGACAACCTCGTGGACACGCACTCCGCAGACCTGGGGGGCCCCGGCGAAGGTGCCCCGGCCCCGGGCGAGAAGCAGGAGGGCAGCCGGGCTCCCCCAGAGCAGCCCCCTGCAGACCACGGTGCCGAGAGCCTGCGTCCGCCCAGCCTGCTGCCCCCCCGGCCTCGCCTGTCCGAGAGGTCGCAGCCGGGCCTGGACCTGCCGCTCGGGAGCCGGGCGGGGGGCGAGGGCCGCCGGGGTGCCGAGGCGGCCGCGGCCTTCCTGGGAATGGGCTTCTCCAGCCTGGACATGAGCCTCTGCGTGCTGCTGTACGTGGCCTCATCCCTCTTCCTCATGGTCATGTACTTCTTCTTCCGCGTGCGCTCCAAGCGCTGGAAAGTCAAGCACCACCACCCGTCCGTGTAGGACGCGGCGAGACTGTGGAGCCGCCGCTTTGCTCTTCAGATCAGGGACACTGTTCACACTCCGGCCCTGGCGGCCCCTCGAGGGGACCTTCTGCTCCCCGCCTGCGTGGCCCAGACAAGTCCCCTACAGACCCTAGAGCAAAAAGACCTGTGTTTTCACTCTTCCAGGTCTGAAAACGGAAGTGGGTGGCCAAACCCCAGGAACAGGACTTTCCACCTGCTTTCACCTCAAGTTCCCTGACTGCAGGGCCTCGCTCTGGGAGTTGGAGAGAAAAACCCACACCCTTCCCCCGCCGCTGGGGCCTGCTGCCTGCCGCCCCCTTCCGCGGCTCCATGAAGCCTGCAGTTCTCGGAGATTGCCTGCGTTTGTGCCTCTCAGCTACGGGTGGTCTCTGGGGCACCGAGGCAGCTCAGGACCAGGAGAGGGAAGCCCCCGAATGTCGGGGGTGTGGAGGGGAAGCGGGCCCTTCGGGGGCGCTGTCTTTGTTCATGAGCCTGGTGACAGGAGGCTGTAAGGGGATCCTAGTCTGTCCACCGCGCGGACCCGGAGCGCTGAGCCCCACCGTGGCAGGGGGGGCTCTGCGGGGTCTCCGAAGGCACCCTCCTCCTGTGCACTCATCCCCCAGCACGTACAAGTCTCTGCGAGAGCCCCGCGCTCAGTGGGAGGGAGATGGTGGCCCCCAGCAGGGCAGACTGTGGTCTCGGCCAAGCTTCATTTTCCTGGAGCTGTTTCACCACAGGTCCCCAGGCTTTGATGGTTTAATTGCAAATATTGAATGTTTTAACACATTATTTGTAAAACCCAAAAAGCTCAGAAGTAAATTTGCCTCTGAAAATGTAAACAGAAACAACTATGGCAGGGAACACTCCCTTTGAGTGTGAGTGAGTGTGTGTGACGATGATGGTTGTCACTGTCCCCACCACGCCTGTTCTGTGCTCCAGTTACTGTGTTCAGTGAGCACCCTGGCCGCCTGACGGTTTGGGGAAGGGGGTGGCCGACTCCTCGAGCTGCCTTTAGCTTCGTGGTCCCTTCCAGTGGGAGGTGTGACCTGGCAGCCTCTGGGCGGGGAATGCGCCACTTCTCTGCCAGAGCCTTTTTGTGCTTGAGACTTTTTCACCCCGGGAAGCCTTTGTGTTTTAAAAGCCATGGGCTTGTCTTCATGGCTGAGCTGTGTGCCTGGGTTACTGAAGACACCTGTTGTTTGTTTTCAACTTGAAAACTGGGCCAGTTCACACACAGCCCAAAGGGGTATAACTCAGAACCATAAATTAAACTGCCTTTGGTTTGCGCCAAATGTCGTTTTCTCCCCTAAAGTATGTTTTTTCAACAGCGGAACTGAGATAGTGCTGTGAGTGGATGGTCTTGTGTACTTGACAGAAGCCTGTGAGGGGCAGCGTCGGCGTTCAGGGCTCCTGATAACATTGCAGGTTGGAGGCGGCAGGTCAGGGTGGCCGCGGCACTGTGTCCGTCGCTGCTCAGAGCTGGACGCTCCCTTAGGCAAGGGTTAAGTTCCGTTTTCTAAAGTTGTAAGTATTGAGACTAATAAATATGATAGTTCGGTAATTTAAATGTATATTTATTTTTAATGGAAGGATTTTGATTAAAAAGAAGCTAATTGACATGGAAATGTCAGTGAAATTTCTTACCTGCAAGAAAAATAAACATTTTGTATTTAAGTAAACTATAATGTGCACATTTTAAAAAATAAAGAAATCTGATATTTGAAAAAATTGTAATTGTTTTGAAGTAAAACTAGCTCTACCAGTGATGGGGTGTCTGGCAGGGGTGCATGGACTGGACCTCTGAAATTCCACAATGTCCAGTGACTCAAGAGACTCTGGAAGACAGCCTGGGGACAGGCAGAAGGTGAAAGATGGGAAGTCCCCGATAGTTGGTCTTCTCAGGGCCGAGCTGGACGGAGGGAGCGTGGGACCGCAGCCCCCCTGCCGCGAGGGGGATGAGGGAGGGCATGTCGACTGAGATGCCTGGAATCCTGCTCACAGGCACCGCAGGCACCAGTTCCAGGGAACTTGAGGACCCCCAGACCAGAGTGCCCAGCAGCGCGGCTGCCCCCTCCCCTCAGCTTTGCCCTGCACCTGCTTACTGCCCCCCGGTGCTAAACTATTTTGATTCTTTCCACCGCCTCCCCACACCTTGTATTGTGGTGGAGAGGTCTAGTGGTCAGTGTAGCTTGGGGGAGTCCTGGCTAAAGTTTCTGTGAATTCGCCTTCCCAGCTGGACTGCAGGCTCAGTCGGGGGAGGAGGGCGGCCGCGCCTCCTTCAGCACCGCGGACAGCGCCTGGAGGGTGTGGGCAGCCCTCTGGTGCGCCAATCAGACAGGGCACTGGNGGGCGGCCGCGCCTCCTTCAGCACCGCGGACAGCGCCCGGCCCAGCGGCTCGAGCGTCTGACCACGCTCCGCGCACCGGGACGCAGGGAGGGCCCAGCCATCCCGGGGGTCGCAGAGGAGGAGGAAAGAGCGCTCCCCGGGCCGCTTGGGTCCGGCCTGGCCCCGAGACCGCGATGCTCCTGGAGACGGATCTCGAGGGCGACCGAGATCGGCCCCGGGCCCCCTCAACCGCCGGCCTCTGCACCTTTGGAGGGACCAGGGGTAAGAGCCCCGCATGTCCTCCTGCGGTCTCCAGACTGGGCAGGAATACGCAGAGGGGAAAGGGCACGGGTGGGCAGAGGCGAGCAGAGGGACGAGGGAAGGAAGGCGTGCAGCACACTAAGGTCAGGGCGGAAAGAGTCTGGAGAGGCCTCTGGTGGGTCCTGACATGGAGACCTGGGTGACGCTGGCAGACCCCTGAGTGAGTGGAAGGCCTGGAGCCCCCCTGTGATGGTCTGAGAAGCCTGGACCCACGCTGAAAGGTCTGCAGCTTTTCACAGAGCGCCTGGAGGACAGAAGGGACCTCGCCGACATGTCTAGTGGGGAGGGGATGGGGCAGAGAGAGGGCTGCCAAGAAAATCTGGAGACCACGCCTCTCAGCTCCCACACAGCCCAGTCCTGCCTCGATAGCTGGCCCAATTCCACGGCGCCAAGAGCCCTGGGTCGGGTCTCCTGCCCGAACTGCACTCCACAAGAGCCATTCGGTCACAAGGACGTTGGGAGATAATGGAGGCATTGTTGGCCGGTCGGCCAGATGCCGAGCGCATAGGCCCACCCGCCCCTTCCCCAGGCAGACCACACACGGCCCCTCTCAGGCAGGCCTCCACAGCAGCTGACACTCAACGGCCAACACCCCTGGGCACCCAACACCCGCTCAGCTCCCCAGCCTGAATGTCCTTGTCCTGTCTTGGGGAACAAATGTAGCACAAAGTGAAGGGGCACCTTAACTTTGCCCGCACGGGACCTTTGCTCAAACTGAGACGTGGGGTCTGCTTGGAGCTCAGAGGCGGCTGTTTCTCCTGCTCAGGTCCTTCCACACCGGCCTCCAAGTTAAGTGTACAGACCAGGCGACTGGAGGCCAGGCGACTATGGGGCCTCACTGAGGGGCTCCCAGGTGGAACCTCCTGGAGGATGGTACCAACCCCTAGTCCCCCAACACTTTCTGGGGGCCCCCTGCTCCCGTCATGCTCTGTACTGCCAGGACCCACACTGCTGTGTGCTGACTGTGGGTGACGCAGGGGTTTGGCCTGGCCTGTGGTGGGCACCCTTCGGGGTAGGTGTGTCTCTACGTGCAAGGGCGGTGGGTTCCTGTGAGCTCACCTGTTTAGACTGGGGGAGGGGGGCAGAATATGGGAAAATGGGGCACCAGGGCTTCCTCCCGTGCTAGCGGGGGTGGAGAGAAGAGAGTGGATCCCGGCGTTCCCAGCTCCGTCCCTCCTGACCTGGAGTCTTGGCTGCATCATGGAGTTCGAGCCGAGGACACTGGGTTCCCTCCGGAAACTCGCCCTGCTTCCCCGCGCCCACTTCTGGGCTGCAGTGCCCAGGACGGGGCCCAGAAGCTGCTCAGAGCAGGAAGGTCCGAGGTCGGGTCCGCTCCTGGAGGCTTCCCTGTGAGTCCGTGGGCGCCGCACTCACCCTCTCTGGGTCTTGGGTCTCGCACATGCCACCAGGCACTGTGATCAAGCCTCCCAGCTCGGAACCTCTCGGGTCCAAGCCTCAGCGGCGGTAGGATCCAGCTCCCTCCCTGACCGGCAGGCTACCCGCGGGCTTTTGCGCCGGAGCCCAGGCCTCAGCCCCGAGTCAGCGCCGGGGCAGGAAGCTTCGGAGCCTGGTCACGCGCCCTCGGGCAGCGCTGACACGGCTCCTCCCCTGCCGGTCCCCATCCCTGGGCCGGGCACTCGGGGCGGTTTCTCGCCACCACAGTTCTCCGGGCAAAGGCGCGCAGAGTCCGCGGACGCCAGCCGCGCGTCTCCGCGACCCCGGCCCCGCCCCGCGCCTCTTCGGGCCCCTGGGCAGCCCGCGGGCGCAGCGCCCAGCAGCGCCGGGAGTCGCGCAGACGCCGGCCCGGGGCCATAGAGGCCGCGGTCTCGCGGAGCCCCCGGAAAGTTCAGGACCGGAGAGCCTCGGCGGCGGGCGGCGGGACCCATGGAGGCGCGCGGGGAGCTGGCCCCGGGCCGGGAATCGGCGGGCGGCGACCTGCTGCTGGCGCTGCTGGCGCGGAGGGAAGACCTGCGCCGAGGTGGGTGCCCCGGCCGATCGGCTGCACCCGGGAGGGCGGACCCCGTGGAGACTCAGTGGTCCTCGCTGCCTTCCCAGCCTGGCCACGGAGGCGGCGGGAGCCGGGGAGCGCGGGCGGGAGTGGGTGCGAGGAGCCCAGCAGAGCGCGTCCCTACCTGAGCATCCCGGCAGCGGGCTCGCCTCCGGGCCCCTGGAGCTGTGTCGTCGGGCGTTTCGTCGCGGCGCTGGTGCTGCCCAGGCTAGGGGCCCTCTGGGTCCCAGGACTGGTTTGGGAAATACTCTTCCTTTAGGGAGAGTGTGCAGAGAGCAAACGTGTGTCCCAGTGTCGATGGGTTAGGAGAATCTCCATGAAGGCTGCCTGCACCCGGACCCTCCACACTTTCCGGGCGAAGAGTCAGACACAAGGGCCAGCATGGAGCTGGACCCCGGCGGCTGAACTCCCTTAGCTGGAGTCTTGGTGTCTGCACTCACATGCACCTGCTCCACTGGCAGGGCTGGTCCTCTTGCAGGAAAACCCCCAGCTCACCCCCAGCGCCTTGGCTTCCCCGTGAACTGGGATGGTTCTCCACGAGCTTCCGAGCAGGCGGGACCCGCGGGATGGGATGGGAGGTGGCCCTGGAAGGGTGGGCAGTGGTGGGGTGGGAGCAGGTGGGAAAGGGGTTACATCCAGGCTGTGGGGGTCTCCTCCGTCTCCTACTTCTTTATTTATTTTCCGACGGTTCCTGGGAGGGGTGGCCACGGGGGCTGGGAGGAAGGGGTGGGAGGGCGGAGAGACAGGAAGGGAGGGGCGCGGGCTCTGAGTGAAACGTCTCTAGAGAGCCGAAGGGGATCTGGCCGGCAGGCAAGCGCAAGGCTGTGCTGGGCCCGCCAGCGCCGAGGGTAGGAGACCCCGCCAAGGCTGGAGTCGCCATGCAGCGTAAGGCCTGGGTCGCCAGGGCTTCGCGAGAGCGCGAGGGGCGCGGCGGGAGAGGCTTTTGCTCGACGCGGGCTCCGCGGGTAGCGCGCTCTGGGAGCTGTCCGGGCCGCGGTGCTGAATCCGCGCCGCGCGGGCCTGTCCAGCCACCAGCTCTAAGAAGGGTGTCCTCGCCCGCCACCCTGCCATCACCGCCCGGGGTTGAGGGGCCAGGCAGGGAGCAGATCCCCAGGCTCCGCAGCTAGGGTCGCGGTTTTGCCCGATGCGGGACCCCGTCCTTCGTGGCGCCTGGGGCTGTAGGAAGGAGGTTGATTCCGTTTCTCTCTCAGCATGGGGCAAAGGGAGGTCCCTCTCTGGCCCTTTCACCGGCTTCCAGGCCGAACTGGGGCTGGAGGGGGTCCACTGTCAGCGAGGTGAGTGTGCTGAGGTGGTGATATATTTGAGTAGATTCCAATATATTGAGTAGGTGATATATTCTCGCGGCTCTCTGTCCTCAGGAGGAGGCCTTTTCTAAATTAACAGGTAGTCCTCACACCCTGAACACCCTGCAAAGCACTCCCATGGACCTGTGGCTCCCAAAGGCAGAGGCCCTGCATTTTCCCAGCCTGGTTCCCCCGGAGGCCTGCAGTCCCAGGGGAACAGAACACAAGTGTCTCTGTGGGGAAGGCAAACTGCCTACTGTGTGTGCTCAGGCATCCATGTTTGAGCAGGAGGACAGAGGGTCCGTATGTCCAGTCTATGCACAAGTACCCCCAGGGCCGCCCAAAGACAGGCAGGGCATCAGTGTTTATTTTGGTAGCCTGGGACAGGCCCCGGCGCCGGGCAGCCACACCTGCCACAAGTCTCTAGATGCCATGGCACCTGATTGTGTGAGGAATGAGGGCCACGGGGTAGTGGGTGCCCCATGGCCCATGTGTGCTGGGCCTCTGGTGACGGTAAGGACCCGGTCTCCAGCCCAGCCTCAGACAGCCCCAGGGGTGAGTGTTTCATTTGAGCTCAAAGTGCGTCCTTCATGCACTGGAAATGTTCTTGCAGTTGAGGGTATCTGAAGGGGTGGCCTGGGTGCCCTCCTGCCCCAGCACGTTTGTAAGCCTAGTTTCAGTTGTCCTGGATTTCCACTGCGGGCCAGGCGCGGACTTCTGAGCCACACTCTTCCTGAACGGGGAGCTGGGCGGCCACTCAAGCCGGCCGGGGACGAGGGTGTGCCGGGAAGGGGGCCTCCTGGCAGCCCGGTCCTGGGAGCTGGATGGGATGGGGAGGCCTCTGGCTCTGTGCGGTGGCCCTGACCGCGGTGGCTGCTCCCTGCCTGCAGAGATCCCGCTGTGTGCCGGCTGCGACCAGCACATCCTGGACCGCTTCATCCTCAAGGCTCTGGACCGCCACTGGCACAGCAAGTGCCTCAAGTGTAGCGACTGCCACGCGCCGCTGGCCGAGCGCTGCTTCAGCCGTGGGGAGAGCGTGTACTGCAAAGACGACTTCTTCAAGTGAGCCCGCCAGCCGCCTGGGAGGAAGGGGTGGCACACCCAGGGGGACCCCCGGGGCCCTCACCGTAACCAAGTCTGGAGCCCTGAAAACCCCCATCTCCACACCCCTCCTGTTCCCCAAACAGGGCACCCCGGAGGCCTCTCTGTTGTCGGCTGGGCTGGCCCACGAACAACCTTTAAAAGTAATTAATTTTGTGAATCACTGAAGCAGTCGTTAAAAAGATAACCCTAAATTTATAAGCCTCTATTGGACGTGCTCCCTCTTCGTTTTGGTCTTGTATTCGTGCTTAACGGCAGGGATGGGGCTCCTACCCGGCAGAGTTTGCAGGTCATGGGTTTGCAGGTCGGTCCCAGTGGCCAGGGCTCTGCCCTTCCGAATTCACCTCCCCGATCCGGGCACAGAGGACAGTTGTGTGCCCCAGGGCCTCGGATCCCCTTCTTGGGAGTCCCTGCGGGCAGTCTCTGCGATCAGGGGCAGGGCCAGGAAGCCTTCCTCCAGGAACCGCCCTGCCCGCACCGCGCTAGCGGTTCTCCCACCCGCTCGGGGCGAAGGAGCGGCGGCGCTCTGAGCCGCGCCCTGTGCTCCCGCAGGCGTTTCGGAACCAAGTGCGCTGCGTGCCAGCTGGGCATCCCACCCACGCAGGTGGTGCGCCGCGCCCAGGACTTCGTGTACCACCTGCACTGCTTCGCCTGCGTCGTGTGCAAGCGGCAGCTGGCCACGGGCGACGAGTTCTATCTCATGGAGGACAGCCGGCTCGTGTGCAAGGCAGACTACGAGACGGCCAAACAGCGAGGTCAGTGGGAGGGGGTGGCGGTCACAGGGCTCGGCCTGGGCACGGCCCACCTTCCCCTTTCCTCCCCTGCAAAACAGGGCTAAGGCCCGTCCGGGTCGGGTGTGGACGGATCCTTCCCTCCAGCGTCCCTGGCGAAGCGCTCACTAAGCGGCGAGAACTTAAGCGTCTTCTCTCTGGGTGGGGGCGTTGCGGGCGCCCCCGCCTCCAGGCCCGGAGCCCAGGGGTGGCGGGTACAGTTAGCAGACCCGCTCTGGGGAAGCCGGGTCTAGGGTCTTAGCAGCCACCTCCCTCCCAGCGCAGGGAGATTGGCCTGAATTACGTGGATTAGCTCTTCGGGTCTGAATTATCGTCCTAAATCCTTGACCGTGAAGATCCGACCCTACCCGCACCCTTAGAACAAAGAGGAGCTAGGTGGGGGTTGGGGGGGCAGCGCTTGTCAGTGGGGGGCCGAGGCTGGAGGCGCCTGCGCCCGGACCCAGGGCAGCTGGGTCCCTAAAGAGGGCCGCCCCTGGCTGGGCCGGGTCACCGCCCAGCGCGCTTCCTCCATCGCTCCGGGCACCCGCGTCCCGCAAAACCCTCCGGCCTCCCCGCCGCGGCGGCGAGTCGGGCGGTCACAGCGGCGGCNTCCCGCAAAACCCTCCGGCCTCCCCGCCGCGGCGGCGAGTCGGGCGGTCATAGCGGCGGCGGCACCTCCGACTCCCACGTGCGCGCGCCCCGAGGGAGGTGGGAGCGCCGAGCGGCGGAGGCGCAGGCGCAGCCTCACGCCTCCCCCGCGGTGCAGAGGCCGAGGCCACGGCCAAGAGGCCGCGCACGACTATCACAGCCAAGCAGCTGGAGACGCTGAAGAGCGCCTACAACACGTCGCCGAAGCCCGCGCGCCACGTGCGGGAGCAGCTCTCCTCCGAGACCGGCCTGGACATGCGCGTCGTGCAGGTCAGCGCCCCGGCGCCCCGCGCGCCCTGCGAGCCGCTGGCAAACAAGGGCCACCCCGGGTCCCAGAGCAGCGGCCACTCATCGCCGCCCCCCCCGCCCCAGGTGTGGTTCCAGAATCGCCGGGCCAAGGAAAAGAGGCTCAAGAAGGACGCGGGCCGGCAGCGTTGGGGCCAGTATTTCCGAAACATGAAGCGCGCCCGAGGCGGCTCTAAGTCGGACAAGGACAGCGTCCAGGAGGAGGGGCAGGACAGCGACGCGGAGGTCTCCTTCACCGGTACGGGCGGAGTCGGGAAGAGCGTTGGGTTGATTGACCGCCGGAGCCTGGGAATCAGCGTCCCTGTCTCAACAGACCCTGGCGCCCATCCCCAGGCCCTGTGGTTTGGCCTCTCAGGACCACTGCCCTTCTTCTGGAGGGGGACAGGAACCCTGTGACCCACGGGCGTGTCCCCTGGCAGGCTCTGTCCTGGAGGGAGAGTCTGATCATGCTCCCCCACTGCCCCCACTCAGGGCACTTGGCACTTAGAGTGATATTTTAGGAAGGCAGCAGCACAGTTTTGGGGTGATGAAAGGTCCTAGCTGCTTAGAGTTGGAGGAGGGTCCACCCTCATCTCTGGAACCTGTTACCTCCTTTTTCCAAAGCAGGGACCCACCCCCGGCCCCCCCCCCCACCAGCCAGCTCTTAATGACCATCCTTAGAGAGTTTGTGAAGGAGATTCTTTGGCTGTATTGTGACCTTAGGCTACTCACCTAGCCTCTCTGAGCCTCAATTAACTTGTCTGCAAAACTGGGCAGCCTTGGGATCATACTGGACCCCTGGGCGCCGACTGGACAGTCCTTGGCCCTGACCCCAGCACGGGAGTCCACAGTTCCATAGGAATCGGGTGGGATGGAGCTGAACAAACTCAGGGGTGAAGGGGTGAGAGATGTGGGCTGACCTGTCCTGGGAGGTGGGGCACGTCGCCCCTGCAGGAGGCACTGAGGGGAGGCAGCAGGTGGGCACTGAGCAGTGCCCTGTGCTTCCACTGCAGACGAGCCAGCCATGGCCGACATGGGTCCCGCCAATGGCCTCTACGGCAGCCTGGGAGAGCCTGCCCCGGCCTTGGGCCGGCCCTCGGGGGCCCCGGGCAGCTTCCCGCTGGAGCACGGAGGCCTGGCCGGCCCGGAGCAGTACAGAGAGCTGCGCCCCGGCAGCCCCTACGGCGTCCCCCCCTCGCCTGCCGCCCTGCAGAGCCTGTCTGGCCCGCAGCCCCTCCTCTCCAGTTTGGTGTACCCCGATGCCGGCTTAGGGCTCGTGACCACGGGAGCCCCAGGTGGGCCCCCACCCATGAGAGTGCTGGCAGGCAACGGACCCAGCTCTGACCTTTCCACCGGGAGCAGCGGGGGCTACCCTGACTTCCCTGCCAGCCCCGCCTCCTGGCTGGACGAGGTGGACCACGCTCAGTTCTGACTTGAGTCCCCGCGCCCTCAGGCCCCGGACGTGAGGAGTCTGGGCAGCAGCTCTCCTGCCTGAAGCACGGACTTCTGCAGGACGCAGTGCCGTGGGGAACAGGATGCAGACTCGGGAGGGCTTGCTTCTGGGAATGCTCCCTCTCACCCAGGCAGAGGGACTCTCCCGGTTCGGGTCTGAGAGGCTGCCGCGGGAACTGGGGCCACTTGCAAGCCTTGTTTTGTAAGCAGATTTTCCCTTTATCAACCAATTAACGGAGTGCTTGCAGCCATTTCCAGACAGGAAATGTCACCCCAGGGAGGCCAGGCCTTCGCTCCCCTCAGGGGCCTCGGCCCAGACCAGCACAGCCCTCAGGCTGGAAGATGTTTTAATTTCTAAAATTAAAAACAATACTAATTGTGCTTTCGTTTCCCAGGTTCCATATATCTTGAGTTCTCTAGCCCCCTGCTCCCCCCGCCCCCGCCCCGAACCCCCTCTTTAGGTCAGAGATCAGGCTGTCCGTCCAGCAGGAGGTGGCTGTGGGAAGGCCACGCCTGCGAACTTCCTCATCGCCCCTGCCACCAATTCCTGTCTTCCCCTCCCCACCCCTCCCCTGGGGCCATCGGCTCTAGATCTTTCTGGACCCCACTACCCTGGGGGAGAGAGGCGGACTCTCGAAAGCTTTAAGGAGCTTCCTCCCGTCCAGACTAGGTTTTCGTCCCTGCCCACACCCGCCGCCCCCGTCACAGCTGCCCTGAGAGCTCAGGCCAAGCCCAGCCCGCCGATTTCCATTGCCAAAGAGCCCCCAGCTCCCGTTCTCCCCGTGGGCTCCGACTGCCCAAGGATTGGACGCCCCACAGGCAAAGGAAGGCTGGGGCGGGGGCTCCTCTGAGCTGCCTCCCCGCCAGATGCTTCTGCCACTGGCCACCACAGACACCGAGGCTGGATTCAAGTGATTCCTTGAGCCTGCATCCCCAGCTACCTGTTGTTTCTGTGACGTTCCCCTGTCTTTTATTTATTCTCTGACCATTGGCTCTCTCCCAGACTTCAATAAATTCGTCAGTTACAGTCACTGGAAGGCCTGTACTTTCAGTGAGGCTGGGGGTTGGGGGTGGATCTCTGAAAGCTGGAAGCCCCGTTGGAGTAGCTGTTGGCTTCTTGCCAGGGACGACACCTGGTGTGGATCGGGGCCCCTTTGTCCCGTTCTCTCCGCCAGGCTTCCGAGCACTGGATGGAGACTTAGAACAGACGGTCCAACTGTGGGTGGAGGGGCTGGGCCTTCCCACCCTGTCCCTGGGAGAGGCGGGCGCTGGGGTGGCCAGGTGACAGGACCTAGCAAAACTGCTTGCCACTTGGAGCAGGCTTCATCAGGGGGAGGGGGACCGCAGGAGGCAAGTAGTCCGGAGAACGCGGTCACCGGGGGCTCTGCAACTAGGATTCCAGTCCCAGCCACCTGCTAACTCGCTGTGAGATGCTGAGCAAGTGACCTGGCGAGGATGGGGAGAGCTCCCCAGATGTCCCCCCTCCCTCCCCGACCACCAGGCAGCCCAAGGGGCTTAGGTACAGCCACTTGGCCTCCAGTCCTGCTCACCCCAGCAGGGTCAGCTCCCTCACCAGCACCCGCTGTGGCCCGGGACCCACAGCATGCCCGCCCCTCCCCCCAAGAATCTTGCTGGCAGCCGCCAGGAGAAATGGCAAGGAATGGGGGAGGCCCTCCGGAGGAAATTCGGGGAATCGATGGGAGAAGTGACCCCATCACTCACCCCATCACCCTTCAGTCTGGGAGAGCGCCCAGGGAAGAGCCTGGCTGAGCAAAATTGGGGGTGGGTGGCGATTTAGCATTGGGGGGAGGGAACCGGTGAGCAGAGGTGTAGTGGCTGGGTGAAAGGTGTCCCAGGCTGGCCTGGGGGTTGGTGGTCCGAGATCTCGACCTCCCAGGGGTGTGGCTGAGCCGCTTGTAGGGCGCGGTCCCGGAGGGAACCACTTTGGACTCGGTCCTGCAAGGGGCGCCCTCGAGGGGAAGGAAGGCAGCCTGTCTGGGTGGATTCAGGGTTTGGGGAGGGAGCCTAGCGGAGGCGGGCCGACGCTGCCGCCTCCGGCAGCCCGAGGGGAGTATAAATCCTCCAGTCGCGGCGGGCCCCAACCCCCAGCCTGGAGACCTTCCCCAGGCCGCCTGGGACCTTTCAGGCACTGACAGGTTAATAAAGTGCCAAGTGTGCCCGAGGGAGCCTCCGCCTGTTTGCGGGCTCCCAGCTGGCGGAGCGTCCGGGCAGCAACGGAGCCCCAGACCCCAGTCCTGGGGGGGTGGGGGGAGAATGGACCCCGTCGGGGCCACGCCCCGCGTCACGGCCCAGCCTGTCGGGGCAAGTGCTCAGCTGAGTGGGGCTCGCGGTCAGCCGGGCAGTGGACAGTGCCCGTGTGCAGACCTCACGGGTCTGTCTCCCCATTTGGGAGGAGCGCTTGACCCCGAGTTACCCCCTAACCGCGGGCCCGCGCGGGCAGACAAGCGGGCTCCCAGGTCCGGGCCCAGCTCAGTCTGGGGACGTGACCCTGGACTGGGGTGGCCAAAGCCCGAACCCGAGGCCCAGTGAGGAGGCGGGAGGGGCCAATCTCAGACCGGGAGGACCTCGGGCGGGTCCGCAGAGGAAGATGGACGCCCATCTTACGGGCCCCTGCAAGGGTCACCTGGAGACCACGACGACTTATTTCCCACGTTGGACCCTGTTAACCGGGCGGGGCATCTAGAGGCGTGTGGATGTTAGCGCAGGATGCGGGTTCCCGGGGCCCGTCTCCCCGCGGATGCAGGCGGTGGGCGCCCAGTTCAGAGTCCAGGGCGCGCCCGCCCCGGAGGGGTTTTCCCGCCGGTCCGGCTCAAGGCAGCCAGGGCCCTACGAAGCGGGTGGGGGCGGGGCCGGGGGGCTGGGTAGGGCTGCCTTCCGGAGGCTGGAGCAGGAGGCGGCCCTGCGCCCTCCCCAGAGCCCCTCCGAATTGCGGCCAGCGGCCAGCCAAGGTGGGAGGTGGGCTCGGGGTGGGAGGCACCCTGGCGGGGAGGCGGGACACACCTGAGTTATTTTTTTCCTGAGGGGCTAGGCTTGTTCACTTTTGAAAAACAGTAACCTCTGTATCGTGATACTTAGAACTTTAAATTTTAACATAAGTGGAATACTCATCTTGACCGTGTTATCACATTCTTTTTCATTTTTGAACCCGATTGCATACATTATCAAAGGTAAATACCTGAATGATAAAAACAATTTCAACCAGTATGTAAAAGGACTTCTTTCCTTTTAAAAATAAAATTTGCTCAGGGCGGATGAAAGCTCTGGAATCAGAGACACCCTTCCCTCCCCACCCCTCTCCTGGAGACCTGGGGACCCACTTGCTTCTTGCTTCTCTTCCCGAAGATCAGGGCGGGTGTATCTTGGGGACTGGCCCCCGTCTGGGACAGGAGGGGGTTGGGGACCCAAATCCCTGGAGCTTGCCTGGTTGAGTAGCAAAACGATAAATCAGTGGGTTTTCAAAGGACTCAGTCAGGAGCTCTGAAGCCCAGGGGCTGTAATGATCAATTCTTTAAGCCCATAATTGTTCAAATTACTCTGAGCAACATAAAACATTAATTTTAAGAAATTTAATAGAAAAAAGCTCTTCAAATCCACAACGAGATAAATGACACCCAGCATTCCGACCTTTTTCCATACCTTGGTGACATTGAATAATCTGAAAGGTATTTACATTTTCATTCTTCGTGGGAAGTGTTGACAAGCTTTTGGCCGTGGGCGAGGTACGCAGTGGCACGCGGGCCCCCCTCCCCCCTAATTAATGGGGGAGCAGTGACTTCATAAGCAGAATTTTCATCAGTCTGCCTGGGTGACCTGCGGTGACGGCTCCCACCCCCGGCACTGATGCAGCGCAACTCATTTTTTACCATAAAAATATTCCCTCCTGACCAGCAGAGCCCCCCTCGGCATTCAAAAAAGAGATAGGAGCCTAAGAAGCAGCTGTCTCGGGGGGCATCGCAGGAATGCAGTCAGACCTGGGAGAGAAGTATGGAAACTGCAGACCCCAGATTCAGGGAGGCACACGTGTGTGTGTGTGGGAGCGTGTGCGTGTGCGTGAGCGTGTGTGTGTGAGAGAGAAAGTGTGTGTGTGAGAGAGAGAGAGCGTGTGTGTGTGTGTGAGCGTGTGTGTGCGTGTGTGTGTGTGTGAGAGAGAGAGAGAGCGTGTGTGTGTGTGTGTGAGAGAGAGAGACAGCGCGTGTGTGTGTGTGAGCGTGTGTGTGTGTGTGAGCGTGTGTGTGTGTGAGCGTGTGTGTGTGTAAGCGTGTGTGTGTGCGTGCGTGAGTGTGTGTGCACGTGCGTGAGCGTGTGTGTGTGAGCGTGTGTATGCGCGCGTGCGTGACATGTGTGAGCGTGTGTGTGCGTGCGTGAGCGTGTGTGTGTGTGTGTGAGGGAGAGCGTGTGCATGCATGTGTGTGTGCGTGTGCGTGCGTGAGCGTGCGTGAGCGTGTGTGGGTGCGTGAGCGTGTGTGTGTGTGCGTGCGTGAGTGTGTGTGTGTGCGTGTGTGTGCGTGAGCGTGTGTGTGTGAGAGAGAGAGCGTGTGCATGCGTGTGTGTGTGCGTGTGAGCGTGTGTGAGCATGTGTGTGTGCGTGAGCGTGTGTGTGTGTGTGTGAGAGCGAGGGTGTGCATGCATGTGTGTGTGCGTGTGTGTGTGTGAGAGAGAGAGAGCGTGTCACAGGCGGGTGTAGAGGCCAGCCCCGAGGATGCTCACGCAGTCCTCAGTTCCACACGTTCCCAAGAGCCCGTCCACACCGTGGGACGTGCCCGCCGGGGTCACACCTGCAGAGCTGGGGCTGGAGCTAGGTCCCGGGGAGCACGAGGGACACAGACCGAGGGCGTCCGGGCTCCCCTGAGCCCAGCGCCTGTGGTTAAGGGCCTGGTAGAGCGCGCGGGCTCCAGTTAAGGGACCTGGGACGCTCCCCTCCGTCCCCCTCGCTCGCTGCAGCTCTGTGACCACGGGTGAGCTGCTCAGCTTCTCTGAGCCTGAGGAGTAGCAAGTATAACCTCCTCTCCGGGCTTGCTAGGACACTTCCCACGGCAGAGCCGGAAGCAGGCACCCCTGAGTGCCCTTCAGGCATCCCTGAAGTGCCCTGCACGCGGTTCTGCGGGCAAATCCCACTGACAGGGAGGCGGTGGGAGCCGCCGGGCCCCAGGGAGCTGCACACACCCAGGACTCGGGACACAGAACTCTGTGGGGCACGGATGCACACGCCAGGGACACCCCTGGGCACGCACCTTCACCCCCGCTCCACACAGCTCACACTCAGCGCCCTGCGCACCCACGCTGAGGGCAAAGGCACGTGAGCCAGATCGGACGGGGCGGGGGGGTCCCAGTCTGCTGTTCCAGAAGTCAAATGCCCACCTTGGTCAGGCTTGGATCAGACCTGCGCCGAGGCAGGGGTGTGGACAGGGTGGCCCCAGGACCGAGCCCCTACTGCTGTGAGGGGAACACCACGCCCCCTCAGGTTCTGAAAGCCCTACTGTGCCCTGGGCTGCTGCCTTTTTTTTTTTTTTGATGTGGACCATTTTTAAAGTCTTCATTGAATTTCTTAAAACCTGAAGCTCTGTGTTCCAAGTCCTGAATACGTGCAGCTTCTTGGATCCAGTGGGTACCACCGCCTCCAGGTCAGTGGGATTTAAAACCAAAGCAGCTTTTATGCTTTATTTGGGGCCGGGAGGCATGTGGCGTCTTAGCTTCCTGACTAAGGATGGAGCTCGCACCCCCTGCATTGGAAGGTGAAGTCTTAAAGCACTGGACCGGACTGCCAGGGAAGTCCCCCTGTGCTTGAGAATGGGGGGCGGGGAACCCAGATGGAGTCGGGGTGGCTCATGCCCATCTGCCCTGCTTCGTCAGTGTCTGCCCCGCCAGTGGGCAGGCAGGATGAGGAATGGCTGGAGGAGGTCCTTGTCCACTTGGACCCCATCCGAGAACCTGGCGGCTTCCCTGGCATCTCAGATGGTAAAGGATTTGCCTGCAATGAGGGAGGCCTGGGTTCGATCCCTGGATTGGGAAG